TTTTATTATTTTATATTCCTAGCACTTAGAACAATGCCTGGCACTTAAGTGCTCAGTAAAAATAAGTTAAATAAATGAAGGAAAACAGTGATAGTTATAGGTAATACCTTGCATCCTAGATATAGTTTGAAGATGAGACTACTGAATTTATTAATGGATTTTGGTGAGATGAGTGACAGAGAAGGATTTGTCAAAGATGGCATCTAGACTTTTGGCCTAAGTGTGTAGAATTTTTATTTCTTGAGATAGTTGGAGAGCAGCAAATTGGGGAATAAAGTGAATTGTCAGATTCTAAGGTTACAAGTTTAAAAGTTATTGAAATACTTTTTTAAAAGTAACTGAATGGGGCTGGAGTTGTGACTCAGTGGTAGAGCACTTGCCTAGCATGTGTGAGGCCCTGGGTTTAATTCTCAGCACCACATATAAATAAATGAATAAAAAGTAACTGAGGGCTGGGGCTATGGCTTAGTTGGTAGAGTGCTTGCCTTGCATGCACAAGACCCTGGGTTCGATCACCAGCACCAAAAATAAATAAATAAATAAAAGTAACTGAAAAACATTTGTTCTCAAAAGTTTCTTCTACTTAACTTTAACATTGCATAAGCTTTGGAGTCTATTATATTTACCATATTTATTTGTGTTGTTTTCTCAGGTCATGCGCATTGTGGATAATGTCCGTCCTGATCGACAGACGGTTATGTTTTCAGCTACTTTCCCCAGAGCTATGGAAGCTTTGGCTCGTAGAATCTTGAGTAAACCCATTGAAGTACAGGTTGGAGGCAGGAGTGTGGTTTGCTCAGATGTGGAGCAACAAGTGGTGGGTATTGTTAGGAAATCCCTAGTTTCCTTGATATGTAGGCAGGTTGTGTGATCTTTTTGGGATCAGTATTTGTGAGGTGGATAGATAATTTTTAAAATTAAGTGGTCTGCATTCGTTGCAGGCTTCAGTATTTTGCCAGGTGTATTTGACTGTGCTGTTATGTGGAAGTGACTATTTAAAATACTCTTTTTGGTTTCTTTCATCAGAGGTGGGGTAGATAGAAATGTAACACACCTGTCTTAATCTTTGATTACTTATGAAGTTAAGAGATGAGCAAACAGATGATTGCTTGCTCATATTTGCAAAATTTTTATTCCCTAAAGATTTATAATTTTTTTAACTTACTTGCTTTTCAGTTAAAGTCAGCATTTTCCTAGCCCTTCCTTAAAATATAGAATTATCTTGAATTATTTTGTATTCACCACACACTAAATGAGTATTTCTGTCCAAAGGTTGTGTTTGCATTTTTAGTCCAATAACTTGGTGTAATTTGGTGTTTTCAGATTGTGATTGAAGAAGAAAAGAAATTCTTGAAGTTACTTGAGCTTCTAGGCCATTATCAAGAATCAGGATCTGTCATTATATTTGTGGATAAGCAGGAACATGCTGATGGTCTATTAAAGGATTTAATGAGAGCATCTTACCCTTGCATGTCTCTTCATGGAGGTAATGTTTAAGCTCTGTGGTATAATCTGAATGATAATATTTGCTTTGTTCTCTGTAATTTAGAATTGTTTTATATTATTTATCTCAGTTTTTACTGAGCTTTCTGGGATCATCAATCATATTAGAGATAAAGTAAATGAGACAGGCATACATTGGATTTTTGTGTAACTTTAGATATAACTTCAGCATTTTTATGTATATGTGGGGCTTAGAACACATGTGAAACAGGTACAGTTTGAATTACCCTCATCAAGCAGGTATTCTGGCTATCTGGCTTTGTACTGCACTGCTTTGGAATTTAGAGGCAATGCTCTTTAATTTTCTTATAATTCTGCAATTTGGGCAGAATTTGACATATATATCTACTCTGTGTTTCATGCTTTATAGCTTATTCGGGGTTTGAGTAGGGTGGCTCAGTGGGGCTTATGATCTACTTTCAATTTGCCTCACGTATGTGGCTGGCAAGTTGGCACTGGCTCTTGACTAGGATATCAGTCAAGCTATTGGCTAGGGATTCTTGTGGGCTATTAGGTTTTTTAAAGCCCAAGACAAGAAGCAGAATCTGGCATGCCAATAGGGACAGTCCTGGGAATTAACAGAGTTTTTATTTCTTCTATGTACTATAGGTCAAAATAGTCCCAAGACTGGTCCAGATTTAGGGGGATGGAGGTAAAGACTCCACCTCTTAACAAGAGAGTATCTTACCACATGCAGAAGATAATGTGGGACAGGAGATACTTTTTGTTGTCATCTTTGGAATATAGAGTCTACCATACCTGGCTTCATGTGGGATGAAATTAAATGGGCTTGTATTCCTTTAACTTGGTAAAAGCGTTTGTTTTATTTGCTATGCTGGGGATTGAACCCATAACCTTACGTACACTAGCCAAGGACTCTGCCTCTGAGATACATCATTAACAGGGTTAGGTTAGTAACCTCCTAACCTCCTAACCCCCCCCCCCCCCTTTTTTTTTTTTTTTGGTACTGGGGATTGAACCCAGAGATATTTAACCACTGATCCACATCTCCAACCACCCCTCACCTTTTTAAATAGTTGTAGATGGACAGCGTGCCTTTATTTTATTTTATTCATTTATGTGGTGCTAAGGATTGAACGCAGTGCCTCACACATGCTAGGCAAGTGCTCTGCCACAGAGCTACAGCCCCAGTGCCCCCAGCCCTTTTTTATATTTTATTTAGAGCCAGGGCCTCTCTGAATTGCTTAGTGCCTCAGGTTTGCTTTGAACTTTTGATCCTTCTGCCTCAGCCTCCTGAGCTGCTGGATTATAGCATGTGCCACTGTGCCTGGCTGATTAGTCAACTTTTAATGTTTTAAAATGAGTTATATTTTCCTTTTTTTTTAAAAAAAAAAAAAGGTAAATATACATTAAACAAATTTTCTCTTTTTAACCATTTTATTGATTGATTGATTGATATGATCCAGGGGCACTTAACCACTTAGCCATATCCTTAGCCTTATTTTTTTTAATGTATTTTGTTTTACACAATACCTTTATTTTATTATGTGGTGCTGAGGATCGAACCCAGTGCCTCACCCGTGCAAGGTGTGTGCTCTATCACTGAGCCACAACTCCAGCCTCCTTATTTTTTATATTTTATTTAGAGGTAGGGTCTTGCTAAGTTGTTTAGGGCCTTGCTAAATTGCTGAGGCTGGCTTTGAATGTGTAATCTTCCGGCCTCAGCCTCCTGAGTCATGGGATTACAGGCATGTGCCACCATGCCTGGCTCAGATTTCCATTTTAAGGCTAAATAATATGCCATTATTTTTATATACCACATTTTCTTTATTTACCTGTTAATGGAGACCTGGGTATCCTTTTGGCTATTATGTATGGTTGACTGAATGTGATGTACAGGTATCTTGTGTAATGTCTTCAGTTACTTTGGATGAATGCCTTGGAATGGAATTGGTATGGTAATTCTGTATTTAAGTTTCTGAGGAACTATCAAATTGATTTTCTCAGTGGCTGTACCATTTGATATTCCCACCAGCAATGCACTGGGGTTCCAATCTCTCTCTGTCTTGGCTAACAGTTACTGTTTTCCTTTTTGTCTTTTGGTGTTTTTTTGTTTGTTTGTTTTTGATAATAGCCATACTAGTGGGTGTTATGTCAAATCTCATGACTCTGATTTGTATTCCTCTAATAAGATCTTAAGCATCTTTTTAATGTCATTATTGGCTATTTGTATTTCTTATTTGGAGAAATGTATGTTTGAGCCCTTTATCCAGTTTTTAAATGGCTTGTTTTGGTTTTTGCTATAGGGTTTCTATGTTCTGTATGATAATGTGTTACCAGCTATATGATTTGTAGATGTTTTCTCCCATTCTGTGAATTTCTTCTCTTTAGATAGGGTCTTTTGAGTACCAAAGTTTTACATTTAGAATCTCAGTTTATTTTCTTTTTGTGTCTGTGCATTTGTTGTCATATCAAGGAAATCATTACCAATCATTGCCAAATCCAAGATTATGAAAATTTTATCCTTCTAAATGTTTTATAGTTTATTAGCTCACGTGTTTAGAACTTGGTTCGGTTTTTTTGTCCTTTTTTTTTTTTAATCAACCCAGCCTGGTCTTGAACCCACTGTAGCCTCCCGAATGACTGGGAGGGACTACAAGTGTAGTGTGTGCCACTATCATCCAACTTGATACGTTTTATTTAATTTTTATATATGATGTAAGATAGGGTTCAAGCTTTTGCATCTGGCCTCCTTTACCATTAATTGATTAATTGACTGTATATGTGAGGATTCTCTTCTGGGCCTTGTTCATCTCCATTGGTTTATGTCTGTTGTATGCCAAAGTCTTTCTTTATAATTTGACTTTTTTTGCTTTTAGTATTTTTAAAGAGCATTTCTAGGTTCATAACGAAGTTGAGCAGAACTTTGGGTTGAGAACTTAGGTTTCTCACATACCTTTAGCCCCTCCCCCAGCCTTCTTCACTGTTAAAATCCTTGCATCAGAATGGTACCATTGTTAAAAATCAACAAACTTACATTGACACATCACTGACATACAAAGTCCGTAGTTTATACTAGGGTTCACTGTTGGTGGTGTACTTTCTATGGATTTTGACAAATTTATATTGATTTTTGTCCATCATTATAGTATCATGCAAGATAGTTTTCAGTGTTCTGTAAATCCTTCATCACACTCTTCCCCTTAACATTGGCAATTATTAATCTATTCACTTTCTCTAGAAAGCATTGCATTTAGTTTTTAAATTAATCTCAAATCACTAGTATAACTAATACTGATACATATAACTTTTATTTTTGCCATATTGGCCTCATTATCTTAAAAATATTTTTGTTGCTATTTGCTGCAAAGCTTATAGTCCAGAACTTTAGTAATTCTATACATTTGAAATATGGGCTCAGGTTTCTTACCTGTGATAATTTTCTTTCTGCTGTTTGTTATTCTGTATATCTTAATTTAAAAAAAATTAGTTGTAGATGTACACAATGCCTTTATTTAATGTATTTAGTTATTTTTTGGTACCAGGGATTGAACTCAGGGGCACTCGGCCACTGAACCACATCCCTGGCCCTATTTTAGAGACAGAATCTCACTGAGTTGCTTAGCACCTCACCATTTCTGAATCTGGCTTTGAATTCATGATCCTCCTGTCTAAGCCTCCCCAGCTTCTGGGATTACAGGCGTGTGCCACTGCGCCCGGCT